AGTTCAAGCTAGATGTGAAGCCTGTTATCTACTGTGATAATCAGCAGACAGTAGGTATAGTAACAAAGCAGGAGGACAAGCTACATACAAAGCTGCGCCACGTTGACACACATCAGATGTGGCTAAGGCAAGAAGTACAGCAACAGCGTCTACATGTAGCCTGGTGTCCAACTGCAGACATGCCAGCAGACGGACTTACGAAGACTCTAGTACGACAGAGGCACTACAAGTTTGTTAAACAGCTAGGCCTAGAAAGCGTAGAGCGCTACGTTATAGAATGCTCGCAGGACGCTGATATTCCAGACCTAGCGGGTCTCACAGGATGGTACTGATAGTACAACGTTCAGCTTTGTTGTTCACAGCAGCTGGGGGGGTGTGTTGCGGTGCAAGTCGGTCCGACAGGCCTCGATCGTCACCTCAGTTGACTACCTTGGACTAGCACGTCTCAGGGCATGTATATATGGTCGCCTCCTAGCTAGCAATCAACTCAGCGCAGTTTTCCATCGATATACAGCGGCTACGTTTGCCGCAACAAAGATGCAATATTATTTAGAGTCTACTTCTACTACCTTCTAGTAGGTACGCGTATTATGCCTAGTCTCTTTGCACTATGTACACTATTATTAAGATAGTTTACCTACTTTAGCGCGCACCTGCCTCTTTAGCTTCTTCCTATTACTACGCGCCCTAAAGTCCTTAAGATTAGCTAAATAAGCCCTATTCTTAACTATTAAGGTCCCCTCTGCTTAAACCTGCTTTCTTTTATACAATCTATGTCGCGTAGCAGCCTTATTTGCCACTTAAAGCTCTGTAATCTCCTTTTGTGCTAACACTAGCTTGTGCGCGATAATTACTGCTCCCTTTAAGACCTTCTTAAAAGCCTCTACTATAGACATTAGTAAGCTATCTATATGCCTCTAAATCCTTGCCTTTATAAGCATTAATTATAACCCTAATTTAAGGTATTGCTTAGGGTTTGCAACTACTAGGGCTTAATACTAGGGGGTAGTAGTAATATAGTATGTAGCTAGACATTAAGCGCTATTATAACCTATTCTAGGTTAAATAGGACTAATCTAGCACCTTAAAACCCTCCTTAGACATTACTAGGAGTAATTGCTGTATTATAGGCGCGTATAAAGCATAGTAAGAACTTAAGCTTTATAATATAGGTAATCTACATCAGGAAAAGTTTTTCGAAATCCGGCCGAGACTGGCTGTTGCTAACAGTCATAGCATAGTCATGCAATGACTGTTCAACAGCCCCAACAGCCCTAATTTACGCCTAACAGCCCTTATTTCGCGCTAATATTACTAATAGCTAAAACACTAAGTGCCTATATTTAATAAACTTAAAACAACGTTGCAATGTTGTTACATAGCTACCCTTAGTTCTGCTAGTACTAGTATTAAATATTTAAAAATTGCGAAATTTCATGCACAGATAGAGCGAAATTGTAGCTTCAAAATAAGCAAAAAATTATTATTGTAGGCCTACTACAACGCGAGTTATAGAGCGTTAAAGGTTTGTTTGTTAAAGGTTTGTGTTTTAAAGTTGCGACAGCACACCATGGCAGCTGCAGCTGCGCCAGCACACAACACATCAGCTGCAGCTGCAACAGCACACGACGTAGCAGCTGCAACAGCACACAACAATGCACCTGCTAACAAGCACACACTGCGGAATAGGCAGGCCTAGGCGTAGAATTCTTAGTTTACCTACTATTCTTAAATAATATTCTTATATTTTCTAATATTTAGGCTGCTAGAGCCCTAGTAAAGAATCTTAACTTAGTGTCTTAGTAAGGAATATTAAGCTTAAAACCTTCTACACTTAATAACTATTCTATTAATAGGCCTATAATGTTTTTTAATAGCTTATTTTAAAGAGGAGACTTAGTAGTATATTAATATAATAAAAGTATAGTTTATTAAGCAGAGCTACTATTATAGCAGGATTAGGAGTTGTTATGGCTATTGCAGCTGTTAGGACTATTAGAGCTGTTAGCTTAAAATTAGCTAGACATTAAATACACATTAAATAACTGTTGTAGGCCTATAAGTCCTACTGTTGCCTACAGTACAATGCCACGATTTCCTGATTTCGACAACGGAAAAACTTTTCCCGATTGTAGTTATGCATAAGATTCTTAACTTGGTAGCTATATGCTGTCTTTAAAGGCGAGAAACACCCCATATTAAGAGGCTGCAGGAGGTGTGATAAGTGTAGAGGCATGTAGATAGTAATAATCTTATTCTCCTTGCAGTATTCCTAGAAAGTAAGCAAGTTATAGCTCTTATGGCTGTTAATTGTGAGTAGTTAGTGGCTACTAACTACTCTCTTCTTTATATACTTATTAAAGTGCTTTAACTACTGCAGGCTAAGCTTATTTGTTGTCTAGCTATTCTTAGATACTACAATAACCTAATTATAAGGTAGATCCCCCTCCTTATACTAGGCAGAGAGGTGATGGTGGCCCTTAAAGATAATAAAGGGTAGAATAGCCTACCCTATTGTGTTAATACCCTAGATAACTATTGTCTACTCTCTATTGCCTTGCTATACTGCCTTTAGCCGTCCTTATCTCCCTAAAGCTGTAATAACAAAACTAGTAGATATCTAGCCTATTATAAAGCTAGCCTTATTAAAGTTAAATATATCTTTATCTAGGATGCTGTACTTAGCTTTAATATTATCTACTAGGCTAAACTAGCCTTGTATAATCTTAGGATCCTTGCAGAGGGCTCTCTTATAGTTGTATTTGTGATTAAACTTTGTTGTGAGCTTAGGGCGGCCTTTAACAAACGTACTAGGCTAGTTCAAGCTAACTTGGCCTATATTGCGCTCTGCGCGCAAAGAATTGGCCATATCAGCCACAGCTGCAAGCCTGGGGGGAAATCCTTGGGTGACTAGCTTAAGTATATGCTTAACAACTACGTCCTCCTTAATCTTAGTCAGATTCTTTAATTTAGGCTAGTAATCTGCTTGTGGAGTCTGTCCTGCGCGTTGGCGGCTTAGTGTTAATTAAGCGACGTTGTAGATAGCTGCAGCGCGTTGCTGAGAGAGTGTCGCGTCTTGTTTAAGAGCCTGAAGGGCAGTCTGTATCTGACGTTTATTAGAAGGTTCTATCTAGCGTTGTTGTTGAGGCATCACGTAGGAAGGTAGA